GACGGACCCACAAAGCGTAGCGGCTCGGCATAGGAGAGAGAGAATTAGCGAGAGAATTAGGATACTTCAGAGACTGGTCCCCGGCGGTACCAAAATGGACACGGCTTCAATGTTGGACGAGGCCATTCATTACGTTAAATTTTTGAAGACCCAAGTGAAGTCGCTTCAGAGAGCTGCCACTGCCGCCAACTCCCCGATCACTCCCTTTCCTTTGGAAATGTCTACTGGAAGCTATGTTCCTCTTCCTGTGCCTAAACCATCCCCTATAATGCCTCACAACCTCCACCAATTCGGAGATGCTTAATAATTTCCCATTACTCTCCCATCAAAATTAGTTTAATAAAGTTCAATAGCATGAATTTGGGGTAATTTCAAAAACAAAATCCAACCCAATTCATCTGCGTCATCAGCTAACTGCATAGTCATTTCAAAAACAAACTTTAAATTGCATGCATGCTTCTGTAATTAGCCCATCATCTGGTGTTCTTGTTGTGTGTTGTAGCCCAGAATCAGACACAAGAAAATATCTTCACAGCAAAAAGTAGTGGAATCCCCCCAGCAGCCCATTCCTAGCTCTCAACAAAATATCTCTGTGCTATGGTAGGTAATAACGCTAAACCTAAATACCGTCGTATTAATATTCATCCGCTGAATCTCAAAACCAATTGATCAAGAGAGGCCGCATATGTTTATTACAAATTATTATTAGGCCTTTCACAAATGCAGGATCTCTAGATAGATAGAAATTTGAAATTAATTACGGTATGGGTTCTTTCTCAAAATCAATCGATACGAGAGAAGTAGTCCATTGAGAAAAGTAGTCTATATCTATTATTTCGATGTCGATATTATGAGTAATTTAATTAATAATATTTCTGAAGTCTTAAAAGACTGTGTTTTGGAAGAAATATGTGAAGAGAACAAGGTGGGAAGCGTCGAGAAATAAATGTTTTATGGGAATTTTAAGCTTTAGGAGGCGGACAGAAGTATATATCAGCGAACAGTAAGTGTACGTTTTTGTCTGTTTTGGTGGCCAGGAGCACTTGGTTGGTACTACGGAAGAAGTAAAAACTAATTAAAACAACTATATATTGCTGCGCCCGCCGCTCTGATCTCTGAAATCTGAAACCCAACCTGAAATTTCTACTTCTCTCGCTATCGACGGTCCACGGCGGCACGGCCATCGTTAATTATATTACTATTACACTTGGTGCTCTTTAAGGTTCCTACCAAGTTGTTTAGGTTCAAAATCAAAATAAATTCATAAAACACAACGTTCCATGAGACTAGGATCCTAATTTAAATGTAAACTGAAGACGAAGCAGTGGGTGTGTAAGTGCAAGCGTCAACCGTGGGTGAGGGTATCAGTGTGCACAGGCGGTGGAGGGAAAATACACGTGAAAATCTGACACCCCGTTTGCGATTTGGCAACGGCGATGACGTCGTTTTGTCTTTCCACCCACCAAGTTAACTCAATCTAGACACTCACGCTCACCCAAATCAATCTGCAAAATATAAAAATTATAAAAATTTCCGCCCGCCGCATCCCATCAACCGTGTTGATGCTTGGGAGTGATTTCGTCAAATAAACAAAAAAAATTAATTTTAAAGTAATTTTTAAACAATATCAGTTGATACTCGATAGGTGATTAAATCACTGCTAATTATGTGAAATTCACTTCAGATCAAACATAAATTAATTGTAATTAGATCACATTTACCAAATCAATGATCACTCTCAAACATGTCTTTAGATAAAAATCAATTCAAAAATTGTAAGTAATTTTTATAAAGTTTATTCAATTTTACATTTAAACTTTTGATCTATGTAATTTTTAGGCTTAATCTAAGTAATTTTAAGTTTTCCCTTCGTTAAAATTAGGAAGTTTTAAGAGATTGTTACATTTTTTTTTTTAATTAGAGGTAAGGTAAAGAGTCTAACTATAGCTAAAGATTACCATATTCCTTCAAGTTTAAGGTTGAATTTTATTATGGAAAAAAAGATCGACTTATTTAGATGTAAATTTCTTTTTTCAACGAGTAAAAGAATCCTAAAATGATTTTGCAAGGAATGTAGTTTTTTTTTTCTTTTTAATAGGGAATCCTGCCTATATTTTTTTTTTCCTTTTTTTATCGTAGAATCTTACCTATATTTTCTTTAATAGAATCCTATCTATACTTTTGGATTCAAATATTTTTCCAACCAATTTTTTAGAAGGTAAAGAATAAAACAAAATTTAAACAACAAAATATCACAATAAAATCATGATTGAAAATGATACTAAAAAATCAACATTAATGTAATTAGAAATAGAGATACTAAAAATCAAGCAATGAAAAAAAAACGGTGAACAAATACTATAATACAAGGTGAATAAATAAGGTGAGCAACGAATTAATATGACATATCAAAAGTAGTTGGAACAATTAATACAAAAATATAAAATACTATATCTCCAATCCGTGGAAACTCAAGCATATTTTTGGCTCGCCTCTCTCTTCTTCACCATTTGCCACCCGTTGCCCTACTTGCAACCAGCCATGGGACCCGACCACCGTTCTTTTTCCCTAGCTCGATACCTTAAGTTTCATCTCTCTCCCTTTGTTGAATCATCTCTCTGTGTATTGTTTCCTTAGATTCAAAGAGTTTTGTCTCCATGCACACGAACTCCAAAATCTATAGAGGGGTAAGAAAAAGAGTAGAATCAATGAGAGATAATATAGTAACAAAACAAAATTAAGTTTGAATTTAGGAGATAATGGAAGTTAGAATATTTTAATTTTAAAAATAATAATCAAATAGAAAAGTAAAAAAGTAAAAATAAAACCGGTAAAACAATTAAAAAAATACAAATAGATCTTTTCATTATGAAGGATCATTTGACCATTTTAATTGGGGGGACAAATAAGACACCTACAGTAAATTCTAATGAAGGGTTAAGTAAGGATACCTAATCCAAATTCTCTAAAGAGAGCGTAAATACATGGCCTAAGGAACACTTAAACTAAGCCCAAAACGAAAGAAGTCCAAATAGTCATAAAGAAGGCCTAAAAACATGGCCCACCAAACAACACCTAAAAACTACAGAACAAATGAACGTTAACAACCAAAGACAGTAGTAAGCTGAACCCGAAAGGGCAAATTTTGTATAAAATTTTCATTTTATTAAGGCCCTAAAAGAGCTGTTTATCGAAATCATTGTGACCTGAAATTTTTCTTTTAATAAATATAACACCATTTTCTCGATTCCAATCTACTTTTTTCTAGAATAAGAAAACAAAGTGAAAGAAATATGAATCTCTAAAAATACATTTCTTTTCTTATGATTTGAAAATAAATAATCAATAATTCAGATTACCATTATGGGTGGCTTATTGATCCAAAGAAGTTAATGGGGTTAATTAAGAGTGAATGAGTTTAAACTCGATGATGACCATTTAGCGTGCAAGCTGGTTCGGACACTTACGGATATCAGAAAAAAAAAAAGACTAACTCAATCAAAGTATTATATTATTAAGTTTATTAGATACCACCCGAATGTGACAAATTTACCAATAAGAATAATTTAAATAGAATGAAATATGGGTTGTATTTCGTCACAATCCACCTATTTATTCTTCAAAATATTGGGTACAAGAATAATTTTAAAATAATAATTCAAATATTTAGGTAAAGATTATCCTTTTGAGTTTATCTCAAAAGTCAATAATTTAATCCCGTTATACCATTCTTGAACTCAAAAAAATAAAAGAAAGGTAAAGACTGTTAAGATATTAGTCTATTATTTGGTTCTATGTCATATGCTATCCTGTGGAAAAAGAAAAGGAAAAGTGCACGTGGCATATGATACAATAGTAAAGGGTTCACACAGTCCACATTTTTGTTTTAGCACAAAGTCCACACATGTTTAACTTCTTGTACAATTATATTTTGGTTGTTAGTGTTGTTGGATTGCAATTATTAAGGGAGAGGTTTATTTAACCACACAATTTGATAACTATTTTTTATTTTCTATTTAGAGAGTAAACAAATATATGCTAGACCGGAAAAAAAAAAAGGTATAAGTAGATAGCACAATGAGATGGGACTAGAGTCGGACATGCTCTCCCATTCTCATATTCGTAGAAATTTTTTATCTCCGTCCATATTTCATTCTCCAATTTTGATAATTGAGGTCGAGGTTGAGGAAAAATTGTAAACACTACTTTCACTTGTGTAATTATTTGTTTTGCTATCTACAGTTTAGGAAACGTTTTCAAAATCTAAGCTAAATTTTAAAATTAGAGAAAAACGTTCTCAAAACCTTGTTTTTGTTTTTTAAATTTGACTAAAAAAATATATATTTTTAAAAAATGTGAAAACATACCACAAAAATTTTCGGACAAAAAAAAAGTTCTTAATTGTTAAGGCATCCTTCAATAATTATTTGGTCAGATTACATTTGTTAATTTGCTTACAATTTTTATTTTCAAAAAAAAAAAAAGGAAGGGAAGACTCATATTTTTAATTCCTCTAATCCCATTCCCTTTCCCTTTCAAATTTAATTAGGATGGTTTCTTTCGTATACCTACTTATCTACTTCCTCTAGTCTCTTTAATTTGTGGACCCTTTATACATTAATTCTCTCTCTTTAATTTTGAGTTCCTTCTCCCTTTGATTGTGGAACTGGTTTCTTCCTCTCTTTCCAATGTTCAAGAGACATCTCATTCACACTTGACTAAAATGTTTCGTTCCCACCTACTTAAAATAATACAAATCAACTGTTCAATATATTAATGTATATTTTTCTAAACAACTCCTTGATGGAAATTATTGAAATCTCTCATATCTATTGTACCTTTTTAATAAATGTCGGCCACCAAATTAGTTGGCTATCAAACTCTTCGAGATTAAAAGCACATCTTTGTAGTTTTTTTTCTCCTCCTTTTTAAGTTCAACAATACATTTCCATCCAAAAAAATTAATAGAAAAATAAAAAATCGGAATTGATCGATTTTCGTCGAGACATAATCAATGACTCTAAAATAAGAAATGGAAGGATTTCACTGAAATTACTCATTTGAAATTTTTTTAAAAGCAAGGACAGAGAGTCGAATTATTTCTAACTTTTTGGTCAAAGATATCCACTTCAATTCTATTTAAGTTAATTACTAAATATTTTTGTGCTAACGGCTAAGTAAGTAATTGATTCCTAGTATATTTAAAGATTGTTTTCTTTAATGTTTTTTCGTTGATGATTTAACGGGATGCAATAAATTGTCTTATGTTTATTCTTATCGTATTTCCTAATATAGTTTTCGTTAATAATTTAATGGGATGCACAGAAACTTCCCCTCGTTGACTTATTTGTATTCTTTCCCTAACATATTTTCACCGACTCTAATCAAACTTGTTTTTCTCCAATATTTCTCTCTTTTTCTTCTCTCTCAATCTAATTTTTCCCATCTAACATGTTTCTCTATCTCTCAAGACTTTCTGGATTTCTCTCTGACATAAAAAAAAAATTATCAAAAAGAGTATCATTTATTAAAGTGAAGTAAGTGAAAAAATGACCAAAATACCCCAACATCTCTCTTGTGATGTATGTTGAAAGGTAAAATATGATCCTCATTCATCTCCTACCCATAGTAATGAGCTTCGTAGCTCGATACCTGACTATTAGCCGTAGAATTAATACATGTTGATCTATGTAGGCTGCACTCCTATTGTTACCAGGTGTAGGTATTGAACTATGAGACGAAACAGTACCGTGTAACAACATCCTGTGTTGTAATAATAGAATGGTCTCCTCCCATTACTCTTATAAATACGCATTCACTCTTATAGTCAAGTATACAATTTTGTTTGAAACTGACTTATCTAAATCAGCGATTGACTTCAGCATCGAAATGTTTGTACACAGCGTGCAAGCCTTTGCATAGCTAGCTTTAATAGCTCCGTAAGAAGAAGATTGCTGCCAATCTTGACTCGTTCAAAATATACCATAAACCTAATGTATCCATGAGAGATAATGTTCAGTACTACAAGAATACCAATGAGAATATCATACTTTCTTTATTTACACCAAGTTATTTTTTAATGTTGGTGGATCGAATACTGTGGCAAGGAAAGAAGTAAGAAGTAACCATATTCTTACTAGATATTTTCGGATCTGTGTGTAGTGTGGCAAGACCAGCTGTTGGGTCTGCATACTACCAAACATGTATCAAGTAGAAATAATGGAAAAATTACCGAAAAGGGCTAGCCTAGATCAAACTCCAACTCCATTGTGTGCCTATAAAAATGAAGGACGAAACATCTAATTTGGTCAACAAAAATTCTAAACCGCTGTTGGGTTTTGTTGTATTTTTGGGTGGGATAATAAAGAAATGGGTTCCGAAGATCACCAATTTAGTGATGATTATCTGATACTGAAGCCGGAGGAAGCAACTCTGCTGGATCTGTTTCTCTTCATACTTCCATTCGGTTTCAGAAAGATCAGAAAGCTGGTCGATTGCCCCGCCGCCAAAGAAAACTCTTACAGAAGCATACAAAGCCGACTCATTATCTTCGTCTCCATTTTGTTCCAGAAGCTCGTTCTCGCCATCTCCAACCTGGCCAAGAAGTTCAAGTTGATGCGAGGCATGAAAATTTTACATCCTATTAACTGTTTTTTTCCTCTCAATTCTAAAAAGCAATTACATTTGATTGAAATGAAAGGACTGCATAATTGGATGGTTGTTTTTTTTTTTTCTTTTTTCAATACTGATGTATAGTGTTTTCTATGTTGTTTGTCTGCTTCGGTGCTTTAATCATGTTGTTGTAATTTTGCAATATTTTCTTAGATCTCTTTATTTCTCAAGTGCCTTATTTAGGATTGCGAAATCTATACCTCACAGAAAAAAATTTGAATTGGTTTTAACAATGAACTCATTATTTATAATCTATAACCTGTTCCTTAAAGATATGTCTTTGAATTTACCAATCTTAGTCAGATCCTATTTTGAATGAGATGTTAGTTTGAGCTTTGATATCATTTCAATATTCATTAGCTACATAATTTTGAGATGGAATACTATCCATGAATATTGCTGTGGTATTAGAATCTAAACAAGTTCAAACAAAGATCTGACAAAAAAATGGGATCCAGACTAAGATTGGTGAGTCCAAAAGAACCACCATCTCGAAGGGACATGTTAAAAAACTCACATTGAAGAAATAAGAGACATGGACTGCTCTAATGCTAATTGATTTTGAGATGTAATTTCACGAAGATTGATAGTCACGTGCAACACTCATGCAGGAAAGCTTTGGGCGGTGTCTTATAAACCTTATGCACCGAAAGTGAACTGTAGAGATTGGAAAATAGGTGGGGAGAAGAACGTAAAATTACCTGAAGACAATTTCAAATATTACAGCGCCCTAACAGTTATGGCTTCGCAGTTGGCGTACACAGATTATTCACCTCAACCCAACATTGTCCAGACTGTTGTCGAAGGCTGCTGGAAGGTAAAACATCCATATACAATGGTTCTGGGGTTTTCTAACAGTGTTATGCATCTCCGGGAAAGGAAAAAAAATCTGTTACCGTAAATTTAATTAAACACTCACCCCACTCGTAGACTTGAAAATTTGCATAAGGCTAAACTAGTCAATATTAAATAAGGTTTGAATACAAAATTTCTTGATCTGATATCGTACAAAGAACCAGCTAAGAAGTGAGAGAAGCAGAGCTATTGTATTACTCCATTTGAGTTTAGAAAAGCATTCTATTTCTCTCTAAAGACAAATACAGTATGAAGTAAACTGTGATTAAACCTGACTTAACATCCTCTAACTAACATATCATTCTAACCAAAATAGTTTACAATAACAAACAGCCGTTTAACATAACTAATATATCTAATAAATTACGGTAGGATTTTGTTTGAAGAATTATAGAAAAGATATTTGTTGGGTTTGTAAGGAGTGCAAACAAAATCTCACGAATATTAGATAAGGACAATTATCTTTGGTACGAGGACAATATTATGTCATTGTGCAAGTACTTTAAATAGGAGGACAAATAATTTGTTCATTTAAACTTAATTTTATGTTCTTCATTTTTGTTAAAATTGGCAAGGTTTCATCTATTTTTATGTTTTTTTTTTCTCTTCTTCTCCTTCGTGGAAGAGTGGACGATAGAGTAAAAGGTACAGAGAAGGTAAAATTGCAATATTTATTTAAGTCTAGAATTTAATTTGATTGATTAAACGTTTTAGAGGTTTAAATTGGAATAAATACTTGACTACATACAAGTTAGTAAGAGTTTACACAGGCTTTCTACCTTGGCTTATTTGGAGATGGCAATGACTGATTATATCATTCTTTTCGATGCAGATGAATCTAATAAACACTTACAAATTTCGGAATGGTAAGATTTTTTTTTTTTTTTTGAATGGGGTGGAGATTCAAATTCACTATCTTTTAGTAAAAGGTAGGCATTTAAACTCGTTTGACTATTTGAGCCATACGCAAATTGCTTTGACTTCTATTTTTTAATTTTTTTAAGAATTCATTTTATTCAAAAGTACGTTAGGACTTATAGAAGACACTCTAGTTTAAAGAAATTGTTGACATATAGTAGTTAAAAAAGAGAAGATTTTGAGGACAATGAGGCTTTGACCTCTAATTAAATGGTCATAATCATAACAAATTTGTATAATTAATGGTCTTAATGATCTGTCTAGCTTATCTTGAGCTATTAATTACGTTGGATAAATAATATATTATGATACTGCGATGGATTAAAATAAATTAATGATTAATTGAAATATCGATTTAAAAAAAAAATTCAATTAACTAGATGCCAATTATCCAGCTAATGTTGGCCATATATCTCCGTATTGATTGATGGGTTATCACTGATTTAGTAGTTTATCATGATATACTTACTGATTTACTTAAGATTTCAATCTGCTGTATTAATAATTATTTGTTAGCCGTTATTTTTGCAGTATTGTATCCTAAAACTGCCTATTAATTGTGATTTGTGAGTGTAATGGAGAGAATTGTATGATTTGGATAAAATATATATAGTTGATCTTGATGACACACTCAGTTTTTAATATTCTCGGGGGAGTGATCAAATAAAATTGACTACCATTTAAAAAAAAATTGAAAAAGAAAAATAACATAAGTCGTTTACAATATACTTCATATCTGACCCAGCATAACTAAAAATGACAATATACTTCACTTAATCGAAATATTAAACATAATCCAATGGTTAGACACTTTTTTTTTGTTATAGGTTAGAGGTTAAATCCTCCGTCCTCACATTTATTGTACTTTTAATTTTTAATTATTTAAAAAATCAATTTTAAAAATCTCGCCTTTTTATGCATTATGTAGTACTCCAACTCCTTATATATAGCCACCGACTTTGTCTAGCATTTTCTCTCTTTTACTTTTATTATCTTTTTTTTGAAACGGAATTACCATTTCTTCGGAGATTATTAGGTCTAAGGCTTCATTTTGGGGGACATCAATATAACTACCTCATCTTAGTCTTCCAAATCAAATTTTTTTTGTAATTACTCTATAGTTACCATTTTTTGTAATTGGACAGTCTAGTTCTTCCTTTTTTATGTATGTTTCTCACCTACCTCTTAATGAAATGGTGTCACTTTTTCGAAAAAAGAAAAGGAAGTACCATTTCATTAGTTTTAATATCTTAACTTTTCCATCTGCCCTTTTTTGAATAATAATATAATGACAAAACAAAAATTTTATTTTTACAAGCTGAAAATAATTGTAGAAGCTTTGATTCTCTTATTTTATAATTTCAACCTTCAGTAAAATGGTTCTCATTCTCACTTGTTCAGGATTCATAGAGAAAGCTAGGACTTGCGCTTTTATGTTTCAGACAACATCAACAGACCCAAACGTCATAATATTGGCATTCAAAGGCACCTCCCAGTGCTGTGATTGTGCCGTAGATGTGAACTTCTCCTGGTGCAGTATCCCTGGCGTCGGCAGGATCCACATGGGCTTCATGCAAGCACTCGGCCTACAGGAAGCCTTTCACTGGCCCGACGAACTCCCTAAACCTAACAGCGATTTCGCATATTACACTCTCCGTCAACAACTTAGAGACATTGCCAAATCCAACGATAACGCGAGGTTCATCTTCACGGGCCACAGCTTGGGCGGAGCCCTCGCAGTCCTCTTCGTCACCATCCTCGCCTACCACAATGAGTCCGATGTGCTGGAGAAGCTGCAGGCTGTCTACACCTTCGGCCAACCCAGAGTTGGCGATCCCAAGTTTGCTCAGTTCATGGAAAACACTACCAAAAAATATGACTTCAAATATTATAGATACGTTTACTCATTTGACTTGGTGTCCAGAATTCCTTTCAATTGCGGTGATTTTTTCTGTAGCTACAAACATTTCGGCGGATGCGTCTACTTTGACTGCTGCTACAATGGCAAGGTACTAATTTTGTGTTCAGTAGATTCTTAAATTTTGAATTTTGTGTCTAATAAGTCATCGACATTTCAAAAAATTCATAACCCGAAGTTAAGAGACCTATGCTAAAACACTAAAAGTTTAGAGATTTATCGGACACAAAATTGAAAGTTTAAGGATTTATTAGACATTTTAAAATTGAAATTTTAGATATCAATCCAAACTGGTGCGTTTTGTGCCATTGCTCGGACTAAACATTAGATCGTTTGCTGCTCCATTGCTCTTTCACAACTACGTTGTGGAATAATCTCTTTTCCTCTTTCAATCTTTTCTCTGCTCTTTTTGAGCGTATTGAGTTTTTCCTCACCGAGACTCTCTACCCTCCATCTGAAAGCAGTAGATCCATTCTAATTGGAAAAATGGTATATATTGGTGCTGCTCTTTGGACTACGTGTTTGGTTGGAAAGAAACAAACAATCTTTTTTGGACAAATCTCGCTCTTCTGCTCAACTTTAGAGGATATTAAAGTCTTGGCATCAACTTGGTCCTCAAAATCCCATCCTTTTTGTAATTATAATTTACCTACCATTTTGTTAAATTGGAGCGCTTTTATATAGCCTTCTTCTTTGGTATGTTTCCCACATGCACTCTCAATGAAATGATTTCTCATTTATAAAAATTGAAATTTAGAAACTAGACTTTGTGATTCCACCCAGCTAACTTTTAACTGTTGTGTAACGAACTCATGTTTTGTGCGCAGTTTCTGGAGGAGCAGCCAAACAATAACTACTACTGGCCAATTTATCTGATACCGCAGTTCTTGGCTGCATTGTGGGAGTTTATAAGAAGTTTAATGATCCCACTGGTCAAGTGTTCTTGGGATTACTTCGAGGGATTTGGTAACTTAAAGAATAGGGTGTTGGGGTTGTTCATTCCAGCAACATCAGCTCACATGTTGTTGAATTATATTAATTCCACCCGTTATGGGAAAATACAACCATCCAAAGATATCAAAAAAGCCTAATCCTCCAAGCTGGTGGGATTAGCATATTCTTAGAAATTTGTGAGCTAGTTCGTAAAAACTTGTCCTTTCGGTTTAGTAGAATCTAGGAGTTACAGGGCTATGTAGCTGGTCGGATTAGCATATTCGTAGCTAAATTTAAAATAAATAAACTCGTGTATTAACCATAGATCGGCTCCTTGATCTTAGGTTATGCAAACCTAATTAACCTACGAGTCAAACATGTGTTTTATGTTTTGTAATTGATTTAAATGTTGTAAGTGTGAGTACTTTAATAGAGAGTGTGAGTACTTTAATTGATTTAAATGTTGCAGGGACTTTTACAGCTCTGGAAGCTCAAGTAAACATTTTATAGCACAATAAAATCTCTGTTTGAGGTATAAACTAATGAATTCAGAAGAGATTAATTATCTACAACTTGAGATTTTTTTTCTTTAATAACGTCATAACTCTAAAATAAGCTGCTTTAGGCACATTTTACGATCATTTTATTATCAAGTAAATGAAGTTAAATTTTCTAACTCCCAAATTATAAATCTATAAAGAGTGAATTCAATATGACGAGCATTGCCAACAAGCTTAAACTCGTCAGGAATGTGCTTTGACAGCATCACCAAGAAACCATTGCAACTTCTCATTTCTAGTGTGCCAAACTCGGAGTTTTCCATCCATCCTAGTTATAAAATCAAACGGCATAACCCGTGTCCTCACTTTTGCAGAAATTGTTTATTAGACCCTTAATTTGGTAACTAATAGAAATTAATAGAACAGAGAAGCAAAATTTCAAGATCTTGTACAAAACTAACGTCAAATCTTGAGAAATCGTTAACAATTAGTAACATTTTCATAAGCTACAAGTAATTCACAGCACCTCACCGACTGTTCAAGTTCTGCATTGAAGTTCCAAACTATCATGAGAACGAACCACCAAGTCTCTTAACCACACACAAAGTTTCTTATTATCATTGAAATTGTTGAGAATCCATATAAATGAATTGAATGTATCCAACTCATCGGTTTAAGCTTTTGGATTAAGTGATAGTTTATTCATCCTTAACATAGTATCACAGCTGGTGGTCCTTTATTTGAGCCTCTGCTTTGTCGTTTCCTCCCATTTATCATGATTTCCACTTGTTGGATCTTGTTGCAATTTTTCAAACCCACAAGTCAGGGGAGTGTTTGAGAATCCATATAAATAAATTAAATTTATCCAATCCATCAGCTTAAGCTTTTGAGTTGAATGGTAGTTTATTCATCCTTGAATAGAAGTCCGAATAACAACAGAGCTGAATTGAGTCCCATCATCATGAAAAAAAATTAACCAACTGATATAATCTTATTGAGAGTAAGCATTGTTCAATAAATTATGTCCAACTAGCAATGAAAAACAAGAGGAAAAGTGTGCATTAAATTCCCAAAAACTAAACAAGAACTTCTAGACCTATATATATTTTCGGAATAACTAAATGAGCTACATTAGTTCCCATTACGAGCAGGTTTACAAGTAGGTGAAGCTTGATCCGGCTCTTCTTGGAGGATACACCCTCGCCGATCTTTGGTCAATACCTTATTGTTGCAGCCTCCCTCTTCCGTGACCTCTACTTTTGTAATTACGATATTTTTACCATCATTTAATTTAGAGTACTTTCATATAGCCTCTTCTTTATATGTTCATCGCATACTTCTTAATGAATTATTTAGTATTTTTTCAAAAATAAAATAAAATTTACAAATAGGGATGATTTAATAAATTTCAAAGTGAAAATCCAAAACGATGATCCCTAATTCAGAATGGTGTGAGTGAATTAACGTACTGAATCATGGTATTGATAGGGGACTTTTTACCAATTTTGATTTTTAAATTGTTTTTATATATATTAATTTTTTTTCTTTTTTTAGTTGGGCTTGTATAAGATATATAGTTGACTTGACCTACATCATAGCACGTTAATTAGGGTTTAATTGCCTTTTTTTTTTTAACAAATCAGTCATTTAATAACAATAATTGTAGGCTGGCCTTAAACTTATCTTTTATCGGCTTGTTGAAATATTAAATTCTGCTAAATTGTATATTTTAAAAGTTGATTAAAAATATAGAGAAAGTCAGTCAAAATAAAATAATTTTAAATTTTAAATCTGAAAAAAAAATCATTTTTTAACATCTCACATTTTTTTTATGCATTAGTTACCCTTCACCAGCTAGCCACCATCTCTTTGTTTAAATTTTCTCTGTTTTAATATCTCTAATTTATCTCTCATTTGCCAAGTTGCACATAAATATAATCTCTAATTTATCTTTCATTTGTCAAGTTTTTAACTAGTTATTCAGGAGATTTCAATTTTAAAATAATTAACTTTTTTTTTTCTTAGGGTTCCAAATGACATGTGAAAATAATCCAAAATATGAAACAATTTTTTTCTTTTTTTTTTATCACTATCAAGCTCCATCTTCCACTCCGAGTCCATCTAGTTAAAAACATGCATACTGTGAAATTTTATCTCAAAATCAATTGGCAATGAGATGAGTAGCTCGTTTATATTAAAAACCCTTGTTCGGTCCTTTATATTTTCAATGTGAGAATCCTGGAGCGGTTCCTTAAACTATTTTCTCGCTGATGTGAGTGATACCTGTAGTACTTAATTGCATGGTGGGAGCTTAGAATTAAGAAATTATAATTCCACTCGTCAAGGGTATAGTGATTGTGCCGAGGGTTATGTTACAATATTGGTAAAAATGTTTACAATATTGTTTAGGGTATTTTGGGTTACTTATTCCAAGAAATATCCACTCACATTGGTTCAAATTATGTTAACTCTGACATTTTTCGTTTTTAGATAGAAATTGGAACATCATAAATGTAGGTGAGAAACATACCCAAAATGAATGCTGTGTAAAAGCATTCTAATTGAGAGAAATAGAAGGTGTATATGATAACTCAAGCTCTTGCAGACTGTTAAAGTCGATTGATGATTAGAGAATAAAAAGATTAACATCAAACATGTAATATTCGTTATAATGTGTGTTTGTTTGTGTTTTTGGACATCTCTCTCCTAGTTTTTGGGTTTGTTATGTTTGGAATTGGGATAATTTCAATTCTAAATAAATATAGAGTGGTCGAAAAGAAAATTGGATCAATGACGATATTAAATGTCTTATGCATACGTCCCTTCGAGGACATCCGATAAAATTGGAACGATACAAAGAAGATTAGCATGGTTCCGCAAGGATGACATTAACAAATCGAGAAATGGTCCAAATTTCTTTTAAAAAAAATGTCTTGTGAATACACACAAATATGATAAAACACCATAGGTAAAGAGACTGGATAGTCCGACAAAGTATCATACTAAACCTACTATTTAATTTAAAGTTAAATGTTATAAAGAGGAAGTTACATTAGATGGCAAAACAAATATTATTTTTATTCTAAACAATGTCAATACTTTTACTTTTTTTAAAAAAGATCTTTTTTTCTCAAGTGACAGTTTTTTTTCTTTTAAAATTCAAAACAATTAATGATGTTATTTGAATAAAATTTCTAACTTGCTGTTATATTTAAAAATACATATTTTTCTTGTCATCTATATAATTTTCCTACCATAAATCTCCTTTTATAAAGTGTTGTTAAGAATCCCACATTGATAAAAGAAGGGACTTAACGATGGTTTATAATAGATATGAGCTACTCCCCTCGTTGTCAATTGGTTTTGAGATGGAACCATATGAATATTAATAGGTGTCACCATCTTATTCTTTCAACTTGTCTAATGTTAGGTGTCACCATCTTATTCTTTCAACTTGTCTAATGTATTTGTCCTGTCGTGGCTAGTCAATGTTAATCTCATAATTATTAAACCCATTTCTTCAAAGTTTTAAGGAATAATTGAATTTCCTTTAAGTTTGGAGACTAATTGACTAAATAAGAATAACCATAAAAGTGGAGGCTAAATTCGTAATTTCCTCTTAACATTTTTCCTTCAAAATATATAAAAAAAAAAAAATCAAATTATTGGGTGGACACGCAGCATTAACAACCCACCCCCCTTTCTTCCATTTTCATTAGGTAGGGGAAAAAAATGGCCTCCAAGGAACATGAATTTAGTAAAAACTATCTGATACTGAAGCCGCAGAACGCAAATATTGTGGATTTGTTTCTCTTCTTACTTCCTTTCGGATTCAGAAAGAGGACGAAGTTCATCGATTGCCCAGAGGGCAAAGAAGATTCCTACACAAGCAGCTTCACAAATCGATGGCTCATCTTCATCTCCATAGTGTTGCAAATTATCCTCCTCGCCATCGCCACTCCGCTCGCCAAATTAGACGCCTTTCTCCTCAACGTCTTCAACTTCATCTCCTTCAACGGCGGCATTCTTGGCCTTCTCTCTAGAATTCTGAAAGGTCCGTTTAATAACGATTTCGGGTCTAGTTTTCTGCTTTTAAAAGTTATGAATCAAAGAAGAAGATAATAAAATAAAGAAATACATAGTAATATTATTCTTTATTTTTCTTTGCGCAGGAGAGAGTTTGGTGAAGCCTGATGAAAATTCAGCGGAGTACACATCGGTGGTGGGATTTGCGGACTGGAGAAGAGATTTGGACAAATCCATAAAAGCTGAGGAAATATTCAGATATTATGGTGGCTTAACTGTAATGGCTGCCCAATTATCCTATGAATCCAAACCATTTGTTCTATCAGTCGTAAATGATCGCTGGAAGGTAAATATTCGATCCTCAATAACAACTTTTTTTTAGTTAAATGAGGCATGGGGATGGGGATTCCAATCTTGACAAACCCCTTCTTTCTTATAAAAGAGTTTCCATTATTACTTCAATTAAGGTTAGATTCTAATGTCAACAAAAATAATTAGAGACAATGGTTAAGAATGAATAAACCACCCCTCAACCTAAAAACTTAAGTTGATGATTGGATTAATTTAATTTATTTATGAGTATCTTAACAGCAACGACATGACAGAAGTAACTATGAACAAAACGATTATATTTTTCAAAAAATTTAGAAATTAAAATATAAATTTTAAAGTAGTGTGAGAGATTCAAAGGTGATCTATTAGTCAGAGAAATGTGTCAATAATTATTACTGAACCAAAGGCATGTTAGCATAAACTTTTAAAGTTTGATATAGAACTAGTCTTTTTTATTTTGAGAAAATTTAATTATATGTCAAATAATTACAAAAATGATAGTGATGTATTACGGTCTTTAATTTTAAAGGAATATAAAAACAATAGCATAAAATAAATATTTGTACTCTTTAAATATAGGAAAGTTTACAATTTTAACAAAAATAGTATAATCTAGAATTTCAACATGTAATGTAAATCACGTTAAGAAAAGTCATGATTTTACTAAATTTGAAAAAATAAAAATTGTGAAATTTTTGAAATAAATTATATTTGTGCCATGGGTTGAAATTTCTCGTAAGTTGGAATGATTTTGAATACTTTAGAAGGGTGATGTGTGTGTTTCTCTCTCTCCCTTGCAGATGAAGTTGCTTGGTCACTTCAATTTTTGGAATGGTAAGACTTTCGAATTTTAATTAAATGGTCATAATTAGATCAGCATTCACTAATTAATGGAATTATCGGACGATGAGCTAAAACTCAAAGTGGAACGCTACTCTATTAATTAACTACATGTTCTTTTTCCCTTAGGATCAAATTAACTCGAGATGTTGGTTTAATGGAGGAATAATAATATCTCGTCTGATTAAAAAAAAAACTATAGAATATGAATAGTGGATAAGCACGGGTTGATTTGTATTAGATATAGTTGACCAAACCTCATTTTTAATCATTTTAATTAGGTGTCAGATCAATAGTAAAAATTTGACAATTCTTCATTTTTTCTATATTTTTCTTTCATGCTCAGCAAATTCAACAATAATCCTAAATATTATTCTTTGGAAAATTACCAAACAAATTGACTAACTTGTTGGGATTTTAATGGGCAACTTTTTTGGAACAAGTCAGCCAAATTAATGATCGGATATTTCTCCATCAGCCAACTCAGATTATATTGACCTTAAATTTCTTCTTTTACCTCGGACAAGCACCACTTCATAATTTATTTAATTTTTATTTTTATATCAATTTGAATATAGCTTGTGGACCATGGAAAGGTTGGATGTTTAATTAAACTTTAAATTGCCACCCTACTTGTTTTACAACTCAAACTAAATAAATAAAATCTATTTTTACTTATTTTTCATATTCTGAAACTGGAATTGTTTGATTAAGAATTCAAATTTTCAAATTTTCAATTTTTAAAATGTCTATAAAATTGTTAATTATTTTTAAAAGCAAAAAAAATATGTTTTGTTCTCTTCAGTCTATTTTTCTCTTCTTGGTACTTTATGTACCTCTCCTTTCTAATATCACCCTAAAATATATTTTCCTCTATTACTTAAAAGATTTTTTTTCTTATTTTCATTAAATGCCATAAATTTAATAGATATTGTTAAAATATTTTGACCTTTCATTTAAATCTGACTTTTATTATTATATTTCAATTGAAGTTGAATTTTGATTGTGATATTTTTGTTGAATTTGAAATTTCTTGATATATTTGAAAATATTTCTTTATATTATACTATTAAATATCTCTATCTTACCAACAAGCACAACTCAATCGGTTAACGAATATATTTAATTTATTAAGTTATGATTTTACTTTATTACTATAAAAGTAAAAAATAATAATTTATAAATTTAGATTTCAAATTTACTCATCATATTTAATTTATTCTTAAAAATTAAAAAAAAATATAATATATATATATATTACAGAGAGAAAAAAATAAATAGAGAGATATATATAAGTTTGATTTTTTATTTCATAAAATATGAGTTTGATTAGAGAGATAAAAGAAAGGATACAGAGAGAGAGAAAAATTGTAAATTAATTTTTTTCATTTTATTGAGAAAATGAAAAAAAAATCCTCTCTTCTCTTCATTAATCTCTTAAATATCACATTTGTACTAGCGATGGTAAGTAAGAGATACCTACCAATTGATAAGAACCTACCTACCAATTGGTAAGAACCTAATTATTTATCAGAAAAATTGTAAGAGATAATAAAATAAAAGTCTCTACAGAAAAAATATAATTTCAAATGTAAAATGAGAAATCGAAGCTTCAACCTTATGGAAGATAATAAATATCTCATCAACCCATATTTTGGATGGGTGAGAAAATATAAGTTAAAAAAAATATATAGAAAAGCCCCTACTATTCTATCTTCTATCAAGTTGACTATTCGATATTCAATTCCTCATAGCATAGTTGTACTCTTACAAAAGAAAAGAAAATGAATATCTTTATTTCGAAATAATTTAATTGAAAATAATTTTATTTTCAGTTGATTTTTAATCTCCATTCTCAAAAATTTTCTCATCTAAGTTGACAAACAAAAAAGTTAATAAGTATACTAAAATTTATCCCAATTTCTTCAGATTTTCAGGGCAAAGCTACGACCCAAGCCTTTATGTTTCAAAACACAGCCGCGGACCCAAACGTAACGGTGGTGGCATTCAGAGGCACCTCCCCGCTCGACGCATACGACTGGCAAGTCGACGCCGACTTCTCATGGTACGACATCGAAGGCGTGGGCCGCATCCACAGCGGCTTCATGAAAGCCCTCGGCCTCCAAAAGGCCACAGGCTGGCCCGAGGAGCTCGTTAAATCCAAACACCATTTCGCATACTACACCCTCCGCCAAAAACTCAGAGACATTGCCAAATCCAACGACAACGCAAAATTCATCATCACTGGCCACAGCTTAGGCGGAGCCCTCGCCGCCCTCTTCGTCACTGTCCTCTCACTCCACCGCGACTCCGCCGTGCTGGAGAAGCTGCAGGCCGTTTACACCTACAGTCAGCCCAGAGTTGGCGACCGGAGATTTGCGGAGTTTATGGTGAACACGGTTAAAAAATATGGCTTCAAATATCACAGATACGTTTACTCTAGCGACTTGGTGCCGAGAGTTCCTTTCGATGGCGTAATTTTCAAGTACAAACATTTCGGCAGATGCATCTACTTCAACAGCCTGTACAAAGGCAGGGTAAGTCTGAATTCTGATATCATATTTATATTCATCAAATTTCATCTCAAAATCAATGGATAATGGGAATAACAAGGATGAATAGGAATAAAACAACTTTCTTTTCTCTATCTTTGTGAATGAAACATGTTGATATTTTTTTTTTTCAAATGCAGATCGTAAAGGAGGAGCCAAACAAGAACTACTTCTCGCTAATTTGGGTAATGCCCAAGTATTTGAATGCATGGTGGGAGCTGATAAGGAGTTTCATAGTCCCATTAGTGAAGGGTTTTGATTACCATGAGAGTTTGCTAATGAAGGGGGCAAGGGTTGTTGGCCTGTTTATTCCAGGACTCGCCGCTCACATCCCTACGGACTATGTTAATTCCATCCGTTTGGGAAAATTTAATCCTCCTCCTCAGGAGTTTGAAGACAGTATAGAAGCTGACTAGCAAATATGGAAAGAATTAAGAAGATGAAGATTTTAAAATATATATTTCTTAAGAACATAATTTACGTTATCTATGTAGTAGTGCATGTTTGGTGATTGTGTAAAAAGGAAAAAATTCGATGAAGTGTGTGTTTCTTTTCGTAAATTTTAGGTTGATCAGGTAACCTTGTAAACGTGTAGAAAATAGTAAACTCCATGATGGTCTTCTAGATAATAATGGACAACCAAACACAAAATTTTTCTTCAAACACAAAATTTTTCTTCAATCCGTATAAAATATTTAGGCTTTTACTGGCCAATAAAATTTTGATGAGTAAGAGAGAAATTCAAAAACAGATAAATTTTTTTTTATATATATAATGGGCTGTCAATTTTTCAACGGTGATTAGGATTAAGAAGGCAAGAAATAGAATTGATCGGAAAAACTATTTATGAGTAAATATTGATTAATTTAATACGACATGAAGAAAATTTAATGACTAGAAAAAAGTACATAGTTAGACCAAATAGAATCACACAAACAATTACAACCACCATCGCAAAGCAAGAAATCAAAGTGGAACGTGTTGATATATATATATATATATATATATATATTAAATTTACTCAATCGATGAGTTTAAGCATTTGGTGGAGTGGCGATTTATTCATCCTTAACATAATATTAGATTGCTTTTCCTATGATAGTTTTACTATTTCTCTTCATTGGAGTGCTTTCTTATTACCTCTCTTTTAGGTTTGGTATGTTTCTCACGTATCTTTTTGAATGAAATGGTTCTTATATTTTTTATCAAAGAAGAAAATAAAAACAAAAAAAAATATCAGAGCAAGAGGCTCTGTGTTCGAACCCCTCCATATGCATATTAACATATTAATATTAATACGTATTGAGACCGCATAAATTAAAGGATAGCAGATATTGTGTGAAAAAATAATATATAAAAAAAAATACTCTTCTCTATAAAATTTGTCAATAAATCGGAGTTCTCTACTGACTTTTTAAAATGGTCTAAAAAGTTTAGTAAGATCTATTTGTGTATTAAATGCAATAGAAATAAATCAATTAAAATAAGATCATATCAATAATTTTTTTTTTTAATCAACATCGTCGTATCAAAAAAGTTAGTAGTAGAAGCTTTTGGATGATGTTGTAGAGGCAAGTATTTTTCATTAATCTTATGAGGTTTGAATATCAGTTTACGTCCATAGGAGAGACGACTTTGGTACAGCAAGATAAAACGTCGCCGGATTACACACATATCGGTGGTGGGATTTAATTTACAGATTGGAGAAGAGATTTGGACAATTCCATAAAACCTAGCTAACAACCGTTTTCAGATATATTATGGTGGCCTAACTATAATGGCTGCCAAAAATAATAATAATAATAATAATAAAATTATATTGATTGGCTGCCAAACTGTCGTATGAATCCCTTCCATTTGTCCAATCCGTCGTGAATGACCGTTGGAAGGTAAAGAGCCATACTCATCTATACATTCTAGGTGTGGTCAACTTAATTATTTATTAAATAACATAGATCAAATAGATGACTGATAACAAATTATATCATATTCAAATATACCATTGCTGCGTTTTGTGGAGTCAAAATCATTAAGAATACTCATCAGAAGGTCGTTTTGAAAGCTATGATTTGAAGGAAAATAGAAAAGAGGGAGCACATGACGAGCCGTGGAGCAGAGATGAATAGAGCCTAGTAAGGTGCCACCAACAGCGTCATGGTGCTACGACATGATGATAACCATTTTTTTTCAAAAAAAAAAAAGATAATAGAACCATTTCATACAAAGAAGGTACGTGAGCAACATACAAAGTTAACAAAAGGGAGACTATGATGATAACCTATTTAATCTTCTTTTTTTTTTCTAGGTTTTTCGATTGAAGCGAAAAATTAAAGGAGATCAAGTGTATTGAGAAAATAGGTTGTAGAGCTTACAACAACCTATACTCTTTGGATTTAGTGAGATATTCGATCGTTGTATAATCCTAAGTTGTCATTATCGTGATACTTAGAAGTTAGGGGACTCATTTTCGTACTATGTTGACAGAATTGTAGAACAAAAGAAGGCCCATTATGATCCTAGCAGGACTTATACTTTTGTAAAAAGGGACTCATTTTTAGAAAAGGAAAGTAATAAATTATTGTTGAATAGATTTTTATTTCTCCTTAATTTTAAAATTCAAGAAAAACAAGCATAAAAGAAAAAAAAACTTATGAGAATTAGAGAATGGCATCAAACACGTCTTAAGGCGCTCACGTTTCTTTGGTCTTTAATGATCTTAAGTTGCTCAAACTCATGAAAAACTAATTTTAAAAATTATCCAAACAAGGTTATATTTTAATAAAAGAAAAATAAAATTTTAAGTCAATTTTCTAATCGTTCCACAAAACTCCAACTTTAAACCAAATATAAATATTCTACTTTATATCCTTAAATAAACAAAATATAAGTATGAAATTAAATTTCATTTCTACTTCTTTATTTTACATAATGAGTTTTAATTTGATTGCTTAAAACTTTTCTTTTCATATTTTTTTTTCAAATTTATTATACCACTGCAGCCAATGGAAATTATTTCATAGCAGTAGTTGTAGCCTAATATTTTTGTTTTAAAAAATTTTATTTATTGACACCCATTTGTCAATTTAATAGGAGGGATTGAATTTCATAGTGTCGACTAGCATCTAATTCGCATGCCTACATGTTCAAAATATATTAAAAGTAACAATTCAATAATACACCAATTTTTTGTTACAATTTTTTTATAGGACTAAATTGACAATTTATAATCGATCAGAGATAAAATTAATAATTTTAGAAAATGAAGGAGAAAATTGTGTTGGGACCATTTCGTATATTTGACTTAATAACTTTTATAAGTGAAGTTATTAAAATTTGTTGATGGAATGTTTGTTGTAGATAGACGTATAGTTGGGTTGCAAAAGTTGCAATTAATTAGAAAGGGACTTACATGCTTGTGACTTAAATTTAGTAGGTACCCAAACTAATAACGTTTTGAAATCATTTCAACTGATCTCAAAAGAAGAAAAGAAAAACAAAATCATTAAAGAATGAAAGTGACTTGAAATAAAAGCTTAGAAATTAAAAGAGAATATACATATATATATACACGTTTTTCAAGTTAAAAATGTATTTTATAAATTTTTTTAATACATCATGTAGGTGGAGATTTGAACTCTCCGTTCTTAATCCGCTGAGCTATATTCGAGTCAGCAGAAATATATTTTATAATTATTAAACTTAAAAGACAATAATGAACAAACCTAACTCAAACATAAAATCAAATTAACATAAAAATGTAATGCAAGAAAATTTGTTTAACTTAGGTTTAGCCAAAGGTACGTGGGTTGTAATATTTGTTTTATATTTTATGTTTTCCATTTTTAATTTTTGAAAAGTTGGGTGTATCTAATTAGTTTCTTCTCTTTTTATTTGTCACTTTAAAAAACCATGTTTTTGTTGGAAAAAGAGACTTCATTGATGTATGTGAGAAACATACACAAAAAAAAAGGGAGGGCTATATACAAGCACTCCAATTAAGAGATATAGTAGATAAATGGTAAGTACAAAAAAGATTAGATTTTGTAGACCAAAGAAAAGCAGTGACTGTGATGTCCTCCCAAATGTTGGTTGTAGTCTTCGAAAAACTCGTAAATGTTCGGTGATTTCTTTCTAACCAAGTATGCCAAAGAATAGCACTTATAGCATTGCTCCATAATACAGATTTTTTATTAGGGAGAGGAATGCTAAGGTTTTCTGTGATGAATAAATCGACTTGACAAGGAATTGCACTTTGGACCTGAAAAATGTAGAAGAGACGATCACTTTAAAAACCATGTTATACATATTATTTTCAATTTCGAAAACATCTTATAAATGTCCATCTACTTTCATGGGTTAGATATAGAAATCATAATTGTTTAACTTAGGTTTAGCTAAGGTTTGTTTTGTATTTCTATTTTTCGTGTTTTTCATTTTAAATTTTTAAAAGTTAGGTGTATTCGTTAATGGTCAGTTTCAAAAACCATATTCTACATATTATTTAAAATTTTGGAAACATCTTTTGAGGGGTAACAAATGTTCATCAGTTTTCATGGGTGGGATATAGAAATCTAAGTTTCAATTCAATAATAATTTTGTTTTATTTTGTTTTTAAGTTATTAAGGTTAACAAAATTAAGGTTTTTTTTTCTTTTGGCTTTAAATCTAATTTTAGGGAAATATTTTTAGATTTTGATTTATCTAAATTTTAAAAACTGAACAAAAAGTAGTTTTCATCAATTATTTTTTGTTTTCTAAATTTGGCCAAGATCTCTAGTGTTCTTAGAGAGGGAAAACTGCATTAAAAAAAATTGATAAATAAATAATTAAAAAATAAAATTCTAGAAGTAGCTCAAGTATATTATAAAATTGTGTTAGCCTCTTTATCTTATAAAAGGCCTATGTTCGAACTCCTGTATTATATTTCTTTCTCATTTAATATTTATTTCCACTTATAGAATTTTGTGCAAATTTACAAGTCCACGAGGAAGGGAGGATGTTAGATACTATAAATATTAGATTTATCCTAACCCATAAATCTTCTATTCTATTCCGATACTACTGATCTAAACATGATTAAATTATATCAATGAATCTAAAAATTTAAGATAATCAATTAGGATAAATTTAACATTTCACGATATCTAACATCTTTGATAAGAAAATATTATAGTAGTAAAACTTTTTAAAATATAAAAATCAAATTATTGATAATGATTTGGTCTAATTGAACCTGTAAATATTTAATACCCATTTAATTTTATATACTTCAAAGACGGGCGTGGTGTGTCCATACACCACGTGCAAGGAAACTTTGTTGTTGTCTCTAATACCAATTTAAATATAGCTTAAGGAAATTAATTAATCATCTAACACCAAACATCAAAATGATTATTTCGTTGGAGCTTAAAGGGTGAGCATGCCTATTAATTATATTTTCAAGAAAATAAAAAGAAAAAAGAACTCCCCTCTTTACTTCCTATAGTCACTCCTATATCTCAAATTTAATTAGGACCATTACTCTCTCGTACTTTTTTTTTTTTTGTGAGCTCTCGGTGCCTACTTACTCCATATAGAGCTACTTATCTCCTCTATGTAGTTCTTTTAATTTGTGGATCCTCTGCATTCTATCCATTTTAAGGTTTTTTTTTTCTGTTCGTTCTTTGATACCTACTTTACTTCTTCATAGAATCTATTTATCTACTACTTATAATCTCTCTTTTAATTTTTGGATTCTCTACATTCTCTCTCTAATCTTTGGTGGTGGGACTGTAGAGCAAAAAAAAATATTCAGACACAAGAGGACAGAGAGTTGAGATGCTAATTAGAGCGTCGTACTGATGGGGAAGATATATAAGACACTTCAGAGCCAGTAAACTTGAGAGAACAATATTAAAATGCTTATTAGAGCATATAAACGTTGTCACTATAAGAATAAAAGACATGTTACAAGTTTGGCGTCTCAATACCATCCCCATAACCCATAAAGTAAAATATGAACACATCACAATTTTTTCTAAAAATTTCTCTCTTTTATTCTCCCAACAATATTTGTTCCATCTCTCAAAAATTTCTCTATTTTTCTAACTCTTTTTAAAACAATGAAAACGAGAAAGAAAAAAAATTATCAAACCATGTGTCTTAACTTTTTCCTAACATTTAAAAACAGAATCCAAAATGATCATCCAACAGTCTAAACAGTTTGATATTAATTATGGCGAAGTGGGTGGAAGAAGGACCAAAATACCCTAACATTCGTTTGTAATATTTCCATCCACATGTAGAAAAAATTATTGAATGCACAAACCAAAAAAACTTTAGACCTCCTCCAAAAATTTCTCAACATGTGTCTATATAAACGAAGCATCAAACATCCAATTTCATTAACAAAAATTCTCAACCTCTTGAGCTTCGTTCCAATTTTGTTTTGGATTGCGAAAAAATGGGCTCCCAAGAAAACAAATTTAGTAGCGATTATCTGATACTGAAGCCGGAGGAAGCAACCCTGCTCCATCTGTTTCTCTTCACACTTCCTTTTGGTTACAGAAAGCTGAGGAATTTGGTGGATTGCCCCGTCGCCAAAGAAAACTCTTACACAACCTTTGGAAACCGATGGGTTATCTTCATCTCCATTTTGTTGCAGAAATTCCTTCTCGCCATCGCCAATCTGATCAAATACTGCAAGTCGATGCGAGGTATAATTATATATATTAACAAAGAGGGGTAATTTTTCAATTCTAAGAAGGACTGAACTTCGTATTATTTTAGTTAATTGTGCGTTGTTATGTTACGTGTGAATGCATGCAGGAAAGTTCCATAAAACTTGCGCCGCACCCAAAGTGAACTGTAAAGAGTGGAAAATAATAGGTATGGAGAAGAACATAAAATTAGCCGACGATGACACTTTCAAATATTATGGCGCTCTCACAGTTATGGCTTCGAATTTGGCTTACCAAGACTATAATTCACCTGAACCCTCTGTGGTACAGACCGTCGTCAATGGCTGCTGGAAGGTAAATACAATAATTATTCTTATGAGCCGATGCAAAAGGTAGAGAAATAGAAATTTTTTTATAAATAGACTTCAAATTTTTAGCAATGGATCGATCAGGCTGATAAATATATATGTGGTGGTATTGGTTCTTGTGACAATTATTATCTCAAAGATTGAAGGTTCGATCTCCACCTCGTAATTATTGAACTAAAAATAATGTGCTACAGCAAAAATATAAGTTTTACTTTTTGCATATAAAATTTGACCACGTGCAACAATTTTTATCTTAAATTTTTAATTTCATCTCGTGAACCTTAATTGCTTTGTTAAGGTTACAATTTTTGCCTCTTATTAATATCTCACATCGCTATTGTTGAATGGACTATTATATCTAACTGTTATAAAAGGAATAACGACAATAACTTCAATTATAATTGTTGAATACTTGAGGATGGTGATGAACAACCTATGATGTTTTATTCTTTTAAATGCAGATGAATCTACTTGGATGCTACGATTTTTGGAATGGTAAGACTTTGGACTTCTAGTTAAATGGTCACGATCAGAATAGTTTTGGTTAATCAATGGTTTTAATCTGACCAGTTGATGTGATTGAAGCTATTAATTAACTACTACTATACTGCAACAACAACAAAAAAACATAGATTAATTATGATATATCATCAAATTGATTAAGATAATGATTAATCTGAATGTATCAGCCAACTTGAACATATAGCTCAATTGATAGAGGCATATATCTTTGATTAAGAAGTTATGGGTTCCAACTTCCACCCAATATATACATATATCGTTGTAAATGTTGAACTAAAAAATATCTGGATATTAATAACTTTTATACCAATTAAATATGACCATAATAAATCAATATATCTACATATTAATTGATGAACAGTAATAACTGATTCAGTATTTTATCATGATATATACTTATATTTACTTTTTTTTTTATTTTACTATATTAATATTTCTTTTTTAACCATCATTTTTACAATATTGTATCCTAAAACTGCGTGGAGAGAAAATTGTATGATTGGTGTAAGATGTATAGTTGACCACAATGAAGCCTAATTTTTAATAATCTTTGGAAAGTGACCAAAAATAAATTTACCCACTTAGCCTGCTTTATTATCCCTATGAATCTACGATAGGCCAGTAAGGACAACAATCCAAAAAAAAATAAGGGTGCGTTTGGTTGGTAATCAGAAAATAGAAATTTGAAAACGAGGATTCAATGAAAACCAGAGTTTATTATTTGTTTTCACTCTTTTTAGATATGTGTAGCAGATTTGATAATTGAATCAAACTAGAAGTTGTTGCAATCTAAATTTTAGTTTAATCTAAACTTATATTAATTAATTTATTAATATTTTTTTATGAATTTTGTATAATTGTTATTTTACAAGGTTATATAATTTAGAATACATTATATTTTACATGTTTTAATTTTAACAAACATAAAATGAGTTTATAATATGAAATAATATATTTATCAAAGTTTTTATCATTTTTAATGTAATTCTGCATCTTCAAAATTTCAAATTCTGAATCTGAAAATCTGAAAACATAAAAAAAAATCGTTTTTAGAATTTCTACTGTTCGAATCACAGAATCCTTCTCAAAAACAAATATCCAAAATCCTGCACGCGTATTTGCTGGATCCATTTGATTCAGAATCTAAAAACAAAAAACAGAATTCGAGTTTCCAACAAAACAGACCCTAAAAGACCTCTATGACTTCTCTTCCTTTATATAAATATTAATATGATAATAAATAGAATTAAAAATCTTTTTGTAATCTTAGAAGTTAAAAAAAATGTAATTGAAAAACTCTTTTTTTCAAAGGAGATTAGAGAAAAAAAACATTAGTAAATAAAGCATTATTTTTAAAAACAAAAAATTTCATAGGTAGCCCGCCTATCAGTAGTTATATTCTAATCTATATATTTCTTTCTCTAATGTATCCATTCGCAAATTTATAAATAGTATTAACAAAATATTTAATCAACTTAATTATATTAACAAAATAGTATATATTGATCAAATTTATACTTACAAAACTAGAAAAACAACTCATTCTTTTTATTTCTACGAAAGTTATAAGAAACTCAATTCTTATATCTATGAAACTTAACAACTTTTTTTTTGTTTAATTTGAACATGATCGATATCTTCAGACTTTCAGAACAAGGCTACGACTCAAGTATTTATGTTTCAGAATACCGCCACAGACCCAAACGTAACAGTGGTGGCATTTAGAGGTAGCTCTGAAATATATGATTGGATGGTAGATTTGAACTTGTCCTGGTACAACATTGAAGGCATCGGCAAAATCCACGGCGGCTTCATGCAAGCCCTCGGCCTCCAAAAGGGCACAGGCTGGCCCAAGGAACTCGCCAACCCTGATCACGATTTCGCATATTACACCCTTCGCCAACAACTTAGAGACATCGTCAAATCCAACGACAATGCGAGGTTCATCTTCACCGGCCACAGCTTGGGCGGAGCCCTCGCCGTCCTCTTTGCCACGCTCCTTGCCTTCCACGACGACGCCACTTTGCTAGAGAAGCTGCAGGCTGTTTACACCTTTGGCCAGCCCAGAGTTGGCGACCGCCGGTTTGCTCAGTTTATGGAGAACACTATCGAAAAATATGGATTCAAATATTATAGATACGTTTACTCTAGTGACTTGGTGCCAAGAGTTCCTTTTGATTTCAATGATAATTTATGGTATGAACACTTTGGCGGATGCGTTTACTTCAACTGCAGCTACAATGGGAAGGTAATTCTTCGAATAGAATTGTTAAAAATACTTGCATTCTTATCGTGAAAATCTATCTTATTAATATTATTTATGGTTCTATCTTAAAATCAATTAAGAAATAATCTATGTTTATTGTAAATATATGTTCATATGTTCATAAAGATCGTGACTCTTTTGGCTATCGATCTTGGTCGAGTCTCATTTTTTGACCGAATATTCGTTTGTATTTTTTACTTTGATACCATATTAATATTCATGAATTTTATCTCAAAAGTCAATTAATATGGTATCAGAGCTCAAAACACTCAAACGAGCATACAGTCAAAATCAATAAACTGAAAGATCCACGATCTTGAGGAAGAATATTAAGAATCCACATGGAAAAGTAATTGGACGTTACAAAAGTTTATAATAGATATGAACTACTCTTTCATTGTAAATTGGTTTTGAAATGGAACCTCATAAATATTGATACTATCTTTGTGCCGACCACCATCGTCAAACATTGAATGGTCAGCATAGAGACAGCTTCCAAGTATTTTCCAAAATTATCACCTTTCTTTTATTGAATAATTATTTGTGGTTTAATGATTTTTAGTTGAGTCCATTTTAACAATATGTACTGTTTTTGGTTGATGCGCAGTTTTTGGAGGTGCAGCCAAACAAGAACTACTTCTCACCGATTTGGCTGATAAGCAAATACGTGTCCGCTTGGTGGGAGCTCATAAGAAGTTTAATGATCCCAGTCATCAAGTGTTCAAGTGATTACTTGGAGGGTTTTTCGAATTTACTGTTAAGGTTGTTTGGGTTGCTCTTTCCAGGAGCATCAGCTCACATGTGTCTGAATTATATCAATTCCATCCGTTGGGGAAAATGCAACCATGAAAAGACCCTAATTCCTGCAGCTGAGCACCAGAATGTGGAGAAGATGAACATCTCAAATATATAATATATTATCTGTAATGTGTGCTTTTATTTTCCTCCATCTTGCTTTGCCTAAAGTGTTCTGTATATTTTAATATGTAATAAGGTGTGTTTGGGAAGATTCCGATTGTAAATATATGGGATGGGTAGAAATTTGGGTTTGTAGCCCGTGGGAATTAGCATATTCGTTGTGAATTTGAAATTATAAACAAACTTAATTATGTATCAACTGGCCAAATTTGGTTTACACAAGTCAAGTAACCTGACTATTTTATGTTTCGTATGTACTTTAAAGGTTTCATGTGTGAGTATTTCATAATAAAGTTTCGTTCTAGTTTAAATCAAATATAAATATGATTATATTCTTACTTCATCTACTTTATGTCGTCCTTAAATAAACCAAATATAAGTATGATTAAATTTCATTTTCACTTCTTTATTTTAAATAATTAGTTTTAATTTCATCTCTTAAATTTTTCTTTTTCGTTCGTATTTTTTTATTAAAAATTATTTTACCCCTATTGGCAGTAGAAATTATTTTACCCCTCTTGGCAGTATAATTAGTTATTAGATCCCTAATATTTTAGTTAATTCTCACTTTCTCTTTAACCTTTAAAAAATCTCTACTTAATTAACTTTAATGTCTTACTAATTCTCAATAAATTAGTTCTCAAGAACCTTTGTTTTTTTTTTCACCTTATGGATGGTTGGATACATGTGCCTTAACCCATTAAAGCTATGTTCTTGTGGCAAGAACCTTTGTTATTTTTTAAAAAACAACTTGTGTAATTTTATTGTTTTATTAACATATTTGGACACACATGTCAACATGATCATATAATAACTTAACGATTAAGGCACTTTACTCCTTCCCTTGAGGTTAGAGGTTCGATCTTCCATCCCCACATTTGTTATACTAAAAAAACATATTTGAACACATGAATTTGTCATTCATTTGAAATCCATCCACATTTAAAATCACTCAAAATTTTGAGCTACCAAACATACCTTAGATTATTTGTTTTCTATTTTCTTCTTTTTCAATTTCTAATTTTTAAAAAATAAGGTGTATCTATTGTTTTTTTTTTTTTTTTAATTTTTAGATTTTTCTAAGATGTCGAATGTTATTAGAAAGTGAAATTTTGCACAAAATAATTTTTTCGTAACCAAGTTTAAATTTTTGAAACGAAGACTAAAAAGAAATATGTTATTAAGATTTAAGTACAGTCTAGGATTTTAAAGTTTTAAAATAAAAGGAATCATTTATGACGTGTACTCTTCCTTAACAGTGTGTACACAATTTGTCTTAGATAACCATTTTTTATCTTTTAGGGTGTGCCTCCAACATAAGGCTTCTAATTTTAAATATGTACTTTAAATTATTGTTCATCACTCATCACCAATAGTTCTCAAGGAAGAAAAAATTAAGTTATTTTAGAACCATCTCATTTATGAGATATATAAATAAATTACTAGAGAACTCAATTTTCAACTTTCAATCAAATTTCAACTATGCTTATCTGAAATGTTATTGTTGCTGTTCTCTAGAATGTTTGGCAGGAAAGAAATAATCGATTTTTTCTTGAACAAATTCCATCCTTGTGCTCGCCTTTGGAAAGATATTAAAATTTCGTCCTCTACCGGCATCTTTTTTGTAATTATGACAATTTTAATTTCGTTCAATGGGAGTACTTTTATATAGCCTACTCTTTTGTACGTAAGTTTCTCACGTACTTCTTTATGAATGTAATGACTTCTTTCTCTAAAAAATAAAAAAAAACAAAACTATGCTTATCACCTCGAGGGGGTGTATATGCCGAAGCAAAACCATTGAATATATGATACTCAAAATATTCTCATGGTTTGAATAGTAAATACAATTCAACCCTATAGGTTACTTGATTTGTTTTATTTATGTTGTTTTAAATAGTGTGTTGAGGTACTGAATTAAATTTACCAATCCAACTTAAACTTTTGGGTTGAGTGGTAGTTTATTTCAGAGCGAGAGGTCTTATGTTCGAACTCATACAGTAGTTTATTCATCCTTTATAGTTTAAACAAAATTGAAGGTTGAAGAGTAAATTTATTGCCTATTTTTATCCTCTCAAAGTTGTCTCAAATACCAACTTGTTTATGCAAGGATATGCACAACAGTATATTTCTGATTGCAGCTCAAACTCGGCCTCCGGACCGATCTGAATACTTGGGCGGACCTGCACAAAAAGGTGAGCACTCCGACGATCAAGTCAGTATAGGTCGGATTCCCAGTTTAGTTCGAGGTCAGAAATCGTCGTACCTGATCGTGGAGTGAGGTCCTTTACTTATGGGTGGTAGTCCCGCTAATCTCTCGACGGTTACACCCGGTAATCTCGGGACCGTCGGTTACACCCGGTAATCTCGGGACCGACGGTTACACCCGATAATCACGCCGCTGACAGTAGCTCACATCGTCCCCTACCGAGCTTCCCGGTAGGTCGGACCTCGGCCAGGTTCACCTCGGCCCTCATACTTAGCATTTGTCAACGCTAGTGGTGGTGATCTCGGCGATCCGAGCTAGGGATGACTCATGAGTCATCTTGGAGCACCAATAGGGGTCCTCCACGTGTCCAGGGTATTCTCTTCCCCAAACACAACTTAAATAGAGCTAATGTAAAAATAATAATAATAATAAATAAAAACTTAAATAGAGCTTTAACAACTAAGTTCACCTTTTTTTTAAGTCTGAAAATTTAAATTTCTACTCTTTTGTAATGTTATGTTTTTCGAAAAGAAAGAAAGGGAAAAAAACTCGTATGATATTTACTTCTCAAATTTTTTTTTTTTTTCTCTTTATCTACTTTGAGTCTACTTAATATAATTATCTGCTCCTTAGAGTCTCTTTTAGACGTGTATTTTATTGATCTGATACTGGCTTTTAATAAATGTCGGCCACCGAATTAGTTGGGGGTATGAAACTTATAGAGTAGATAATTAATTCATATTATATTTGAAGATGAAAAAATGTGTCCTTTTTTTTTCTTTCATTAATTTGTAGTTTGCTGATCTGGTTAAATGGTTTCCATCAAAATTCAACCCTTATATTTGGAATTCGAATAATGGACTATCCAAAAATAATTGCATCACCAAATTATGTTCTTCATTCTACCTTTAATAATTTTTCAGACAAATTAAATAAAGATTTGGTTATTGAGATAATTATGTCAACTTAATTGAAAGTGAAACAACAGGTGTGATCAGTGATTTTCTATTACTAATTTTGATATAAAAAAAACATATTCACAAAATTAATAGTTCATAATATGAATACGACTGATGTTGCATGAATATATTGTACATCACTTAAAATAAATTTAAAATGATACAATAGTTAGAGAAAAAAAAAAAGAAAAAAAAGGCTAGAAAATTAAAGAAAATTTTTATTTTCTTTTCTAGATCACTTTGACTAAATAATCAAATCTCATGCAAATTTTGAAAACTTGACACCAAGAGATTTCATTAAAAAAAAATTTAGTACACGACCAAAGTGTACCATACTCCTTTTGCTCACAATTATGATTTTATTTTTATAAATAATTTTGTAATATTGGTAGATCTCACATAACTTTTAATACAATACTGATATGATAAGCAATGAACAAAAGAGAATATATAATAATGCCGTAAGACATAGTATCAGAAATTTTCCAGACATCTATTATTCTATTGGGATGATTTTTAGCACTTTTATCTATATGAAACCGTAGTATCCCGAATTTTCCAGACATCTATTGTTCTATTGAGATGATTTTTAGCCGTCTTATCTATATGAAAAGTTTGATAACTACTTTACTTTCTATTTATTTATTTATTCTTAAAAACATAGCTATTTGAGTAATTAATTATCTTTTATTTTGAAAAACTTTTTGAAAGGGTAAGTGTACTTACAAAAGTATGTACTTACAAAAGTATATAATGACCTTTTAATTTTTCTTAAAAGTCACAAAAAAGGTTTTTAATTGATCTCATGGTATAAGTTTATAATTTATGTCATTTTTGTAAACTTTTAAACTTAATACCACATATATATATATATATATATAAATACATATGCTCTACCAAGAGCCCAGCTTATCGAGATCTTATTCCTTCACTAGTCACAAGACTTGTGATATATATTATATATGATACACGTACAAATGAACATTCTTGTGCAAGAAATCCTCATTGTTAAATTTGAATGATTAATAATACTGTCTACTGTATTAAAACTTCCAAAGTTTTATCCAAGCCTTGAAATTGAAATTGATATAGACCCACTGTCATCTATTAAAATAAGGATAGTGTGTCGAAATGGTCGGAATATATAGTTCAGTAGAGGTCTGAAAATCCTCATGTCACGAGTTCAAATCATGTTCTTGGCAGAATAATAATAAAGAATACATATTCCCTTTTTTCCTATTTTCGTAATTTACTCTTATATTTTCACCTCTTTTTAACTTTTCTCACTTTAAAATTTGTTTCTGTAAATTTATCTTTCCAATCAGAGACATGTCTATCTCACTTTTCTTTTAAAGTTTCTTTTATCACACTAGCTTTCTACCCATTAAATATTTTCCTTTCCACATCTCCCTCTAATTCATCTTTTTCTCTCAATTATTTGCCTTTTTATTTCTTTCTGTATATAACTTTTCTTTCCCTCTCTTTTAACTCGTTTTTCATTCACTAACTTGTCTTTCTCTAAAATTTCTCCCTTATTTTTTTACAACTTTCTCTCTTCCTTATTGTTTTTCTTTTCTAACATATTCCAGTATCTCTCGTTAAAAATAAATCTTTATTTTTCTCTAACTTTTTTTAGTACAACATGTAGAAATAGAAAATCGAACTCATTATCTTTTTTATTAGAGATACAAAGTGTTTTAATAAGTGAAGCTATGTTGAAGTTGTAAGTTTGTGGTTTTTCTCTAACTTTTTAAAAGACAGAAAAAATAAATTATCAAACCATGTGTCATACGATCTCCATTTTCTAAAAACATGAAACAGTTTAAAGTTTCATTTATTAAAGCGAAGGGTCATCCAACATAGCTATAGTGATATTTCCATCCACATGTATGAAAATTTATTGAATGGATCGCCATAACGCGTGGTTTGGCTACCCCCAATAATAGAGATATGCAAATTTAAAAGTCTTCTCCTACCAAACCAGAATATAAATTTGAGACTCTCGTAAATCCAACATCAGTAGCCCTGCTGGTTTACGATGTATTTGGAAATGATTTTGACCACTTTTATTATTGTTAAAATCACTCCTATTTTCATTTATCATGTTTGAAAAAATTAATAAATTGATTTTAGAAAGGTTTAAAATCAATCCAAATTAATTTTTAAAGGATCACTTGGACGGTGATTTTAGAAAATCAATTATACTTAAATCTATTTTTTTCAAAATTATTCATCCTACCATCGCTCTCAAACACACTGCCATTAGTGGGTATTTGCCAAAATCACTCTTGACATGGTAATATATCTTTGACAAATTTTTTTAAAAAAAAAATTGATTTTATGAAAATTTAAGATCACTTTAAATTGATCAGATTTTGGAAAATCAATTATACTCAAATCACTTTTTTCAAAATCATAATTGATCACTCTCAAACATCATACAAGTTATATACCTTAAAAATCAATTTAATATAATTTTAAGCTTTTTAAAATCAAATTTTTAATTTGCTGAACAATGAAAATTGAAGTGATTTTGGCAATCACTCCCAAACATACCGTTAGTTAAACGCTCGAAATTTGCAAAGTAAGACAGAATTACCGCAGCTAACCTAGCTCCATTGTGTCTATAAAAACGAAGCACCAAACATCCAATTTCGCTAACAAATTAAAAAAATTCTCAATCCTCTTGAGCATTATTGTTGGGTGGGATTACAAAAAAATGGGTCCCGAAGATTACCAATTCAGTAATGATTATCTGATACTGAAGCCTGAGGAAGCAACTCTGCTGGATCTGTTTCTCTTCATACTTCCTTTCGGTTACTTAAGGCTCAGGAAGTTGGTGGATTGCCCCGAAGAAAAAGAAGAGTCTTACAAAAGCTTTGGAAACCGATGGGTTATCTTCATCTCCATTTTGTCCCAGAAATTCCTCCTCGCCATCGCCAATCTGCTCGAAAAGTGGGAGCCGATGCGAGGTACATTTTATAAGGAGGAGTAACATTTATTCAAAAAAGTAATCACGGTTCGATGAAACGAAATGGTTGAATTTCGACACCATAACTCAACTCGTTAAAACATATATACAAAGACTTAATTTCGTTTTATGTTAATTACTTGTATTGTTACCGTATTGCGTGCACATGCATGCAGGAAAATTCTGGCGGGTGCAAACTTATGCATCGGAAGTGAACTGTAGAGATTGGAAAATAGGTACGAGCATAAAATTACCCAACGAAGACGCTTTCATATATTATGGTGCCGTCACAGTTATGGCTTCGAATTTGGCTTACCAAGACTATTCATCTGAACCCTCCGTGGTCGAGACCGTCGTCAGTTCCTGCTGGAAGGTAAATACAATAATACTTGATTACCTCGTGATCAGTAGAAAGATTCCTATAGATGGGTATATGGCTAAGTATATTATATTCAAATAAATATATGTGCGGTGGTACTGATTCTTCTAACAGTTAGATATGTGTTATATGGCTATCAATAAATAAAGACATCTATTACCATCTCAAAAGTTGATTGCTTGATTCTCATCCTACGACTGTAAAAATTATATATTATAGGTAAAAGTATCAGTTTTACCTTGGATCTTTTTACCTATGAAATTTGACGAAGTTAAACTTTCAATTTAGAATTAATGGACCTTAATTGCTTCAAAAAGGGTGCAATATTTGTCCAATGCTAAGATTTTTATTTTTTATTTTTTAAGAACTGTAAAAAATGGTTATCATGCTAGCTATTGAATGAATTATTTTTTTCGAACAGAAAGAGGCCAAAGGCCTAAGAAACAGGAGAAGGAGCTATTGAATGAATTATGATACGTAGGTTCAAACTTTAGTACAAGAAGAACTGAACTTTTAATGGCTAGATTTTCTTGTTAAAATTTGCGTATATGTTTATATTATTCAATTGTTGATCTTGTGTGTATGACTTCAGATTTAATTTTGTGTTACTTAATTAAGGTTTGATCTTCATTGGAATTAGTGATTTTTATGTTTTTTTTTTTTTTTGAAAAGTTGGTGATTTTTATGCCGTTTTTTGAAAATTAGTGAGAATGAGTAGAGCAAAAGTTGTATATAGAAGGTAAATATTGTAATACTCAGATCTAAATCTATTGTTTAATTTGATAGACTAAAAGTGTACGGTGAAAATTGAAACAAAACTTATACACCTGTTACCTTTTTACCTGGCTAATTTTTATCTGTCTATTTCTATTGCAAAGTAGATCACTGGATTTTTTAAGTCAATAAAAATATGTCACATCATAAAATCGGTAGAAAATCATATGTGTAGGGAAGTATTTAAAAAAAGTGGATAGGCAGTATTTTACTAAAAAAATTGATTTACTTTGCGAGGTTTAGAGATATAAATTATAATTCATTTCTTAAAAATACTATTTTTTCTAAATATATAATATATCTAACTAAATCGAATTATTAATATTTTGGATGGTAGAGTGCGTGCCATTAACTACGGAGCTATAACTTATTCAAACATAGCTCAGTAAATAAAGGTACTTATTACTATACCATATATCCTAGCATTGTTGAACTCAATAAAATAAAATAAAAATTGAACTATTTTTTAATTGCCTAAAATATAAAAAACCATAAGATGCAATTTCAATTATAATCATGGTTGAAATATTTGGGGATGGTGATAAAATGATGATGTGTTATTATTTTTAACGCAGATGAATCTACTTGGATGCTACAATTTTTGGAATGGTAAGATTTTGGACTTCTATCGTATATATTTTTGTCTTTAATATCTTTCTTTACAAATTTAGTTTGTAACCAAGAAGCTGTGAGTTCAATCCTCTTCCCACATATTGTACTCATAAGAAAAAAAATAATTCAAAACATTAAAAGTAGATAGATGGAAATAGTATTTATTTCTAAGAAATTCATGAACCCAATTCATATATGCTTATGAAACTGAACAATTTTTCTCTTTAATTTGAACAATATGATCTTCAGATTTTCAGAACAAGGCTTCGACTCAAGCATTTATGTTTCAGAATACCGCGACGGACCCAAACGTAACAGTGGTGGCATTTAGAGGCACCAATAGCATAGATAATATCATGGTAGATTTGAACTTCTCGTGGTGCAATTTTGATCAGCGCATTGGCAACATCCACAGCGGCTTCATGGAAGCTCTGGGCCTCCAAAAGGGCCCCATAGGTTGGCCAACGGAACTCCCCACGCCTGACCACGATTTCGCATATTACTACCTCCGCCAACAACTTAGAGACATTGCCAAATCCAACGACAAGGCAAGGTTCGTGTTCACCGGCCACAGCTTGGGCGGAGCCCTCGCAATCCTGTTTGTCACCATCCTCTCGTACCACAACGAGTCCGATGTGCTCAACAAGCTGCAGGCTGTTTACACCTTCGGCCAACCCAGAGTCGGCAATAGCCAGTTTGCTCAGTTTATGGAGAAAACTTTACAACAATATGCCTTCAAATATTATCGATACGTTTACTCTATGGACTTGGCGCCCAGAATTCCTTTCGATATCTTTGATCAATGGTACGAACACTTTGGCGGATGCGTTTACTTCAACTGCTGCTACAGTGGCAAGGTAATTATATTCTTCGAAGAGTGATAATACTAAAAGAAAAATACTTCCGTTCTAACTAGTGAGGACCTATTTTTATATTGTTAAAGATTTCACGTTGAAAAGATAAGGGACCTTACAATGGTTTATAATAAATATGAATTACTCCTCTCATCTCCAATTGGTTTTGAGATACAACCCCATGAATATTAATATGGTCGGATCCCATTTTAGACCGGAAGTTCGTTTTAGCGTCTTGGGATCTGATACCATCTTAATATTCATGAGATTTCATCTCAAAACCAATTGACAAAGAGAGTTAACAAAGAGAGGAATAGCTCACGTTTATTATAAGTCATTGTTAATCTCTACAAACTGATTGCTCATTTAAAAATATATATTTATAAGCCATTGTATGATCTCTACGAACTGATTACTCATTTAAAAATATATATTTGTTAAAAGAAAAAAGTACAAAGGGTATACAACATCCCATTACCCCAAATTGACTAAGTATTGTCCATTTTATATATAACTATGTAGTAAAAAAAAATTAATTTGTTCAAGACATATTTGCTAAGTGTTTATAGTGACAAAAAAAAACACTGATTGCAAACTTCCCTGAACAAATTGATTTTTTTACTACCATATTATATATAAAATAAATGGTATAGGTGGGTTTTACAAGTGAATGATAATAGATGGGTATACCCCGTACTTCTAAGACATGAACTATTTTTTTAATTATGTTAATCGGTTTTGAAATGAAATTTATGGGGAGGATCATTTTTAATTAGTTCCCTCTTTTTTAAGGATAGGAAGGAGAATGAATTAATTGTTTTGGGTTGAGATGTGCAGTTTCTGGAGGTGCAGCCAAACAAGAACTACTTCTCGCCGATATGGCTGATACCCAAATACTTGTTCGCATGGTGGGAGCTTATAAGAAGTTTAATGATCCCAATCATCAAGTGTTCCAGCTATTACTTCGAGGGTTTTTCTGCTTTATTGGTTAGGTTGTTTGGGTTGCTTCTTCCAGGGGCCTCGGCTCACATATGTCTCAATTATATTAATTTGATCCGTTGGGGAAAAATACAACAACCAACCAAAGACGTCCAAAAGGCCCTAATTCCTACAAACTATCTCCAAGCTCATCATCAGTAGTACTAAAATCTGGAGAACATGAACATCCCAAATATATAATATATTTGTAATGTGTGCGCTTTTATATTTTAATGTGGGAATAAGGTGTGTTTATTTGTTAGTGTATTTCTTGATGTTATGCAAATCTGACCCACGAGCCAAAACGTTTGGTAACTGCTTTTAAAGACTTTATGTATGTGAGTGGTTCATAATAAAGTTTCGTTCTAATGTGCTTTAAGATTCCTGCTTAATTTCAATCTAATTGAAGTACTATTGTTTTAGTAGCCTAGACTACGTGTCAACCTCACATGTATAATCTTATTACAGAATGATAAGAAGATTCAACCACATCTTTATCAAGTGATTTTGGCAGCTCGACAACTAGAAGCTGAGTTACGTATTACCTTTTGGTCGACTGTCATCAGGTACGAGTGAACTTTAAAGAACACCTGCAAGTGCAAAGACAATCAGGGATGTTCTCTGACAACATGTCGAATTTCCTTGAGATGTCGAAGAACCGTTAGAGTGCTGTCGAACGAAGTTCTGTTGGAAGTTCATCTCTATAAATAGAGATCCACGCCTCCGATATGTGAAACTATTCTCTCTATGAGCAATAGATCAGATTGTGTACTAATTAGATCCTCGGAGTGTTGTCAATACACTTTTTTCGAGCTTTGCAAATCCTTGATTCGCAATTAAATTAAACACTGATGATTACAAATTTATAGAAGGAATCTAATTGAATAATATAATTGTAAGATGAAAATACCCGAAAGATGAATAATATTTGACAGCGATGAAGGCAGCTGGTGAAGGAAAGACAGAATCTCTCGATTAGCGTGGCAAGTTAACAAAGCAGATTCCAGGGACTCAAATTTTGGACGGCACACGTTGGTTTAATCCTCGACAGTATATAAATTCAAGACCCTGTAATAAAATTGTCGCCATTTGAGCCGTGTCTCTGCCAATAATTATTTCCACACACCTGTGTTAAAAGTTCTAAATTTGCAAAGAGCGATGGCCTTGCTCGAGCTCCATTGTGGGTATAAAAACGAAGCCAATTTGGGGTAACAAAATGAAGAAATTGATCTGAACCGAAAAAATGGGTTCTTTAGAATACGAATTTAGTAATGATTATCTGAAACTGAAGCCGAAGGAAGCAACTCTGCTGGATCTGTTCATCTTCTTACTTCCTTTCGGTTCCATAAAGCTGAGGAAGTTGGTGGATTGCCCTCCCGAAAAAGAAGAGTCTTACACAAGCTTTACAAACCGATGGGTTATTTTCTTCTCCATTTTGTCGCAGAAATCCCTTTTCGCCCTCGCCAATCTGCTCGAAAAGTGGGAGTCCAGTACAGGTATATTTTCATAATAAGGGCTGATATTTATAAAAAAGGTAATTACATGTAACATGATCCGGCCATGACTATCAAAGCTATTGGCCATCGTGTTGTTGGTGGTCATGGATTTCCGACAAAAGATGGTAGATTCGAATTCTCATTATTTAATTAAACGTTGGAATTCCGTATTTACTAGGTGGGATGCACCTCAAGTCTAATCACATTCCTCTCGTACAACTTAATTGATCCATTCATATTCTTTATTTTGACCCCACGTTTTTAATATAATTACTTTACAACTTTTTTCATTTCTCTCTCGTCTGTAATGAGATCAGTATGTAGCCTTTTTATTAATTATTTCATTTGTGTTAATTTTTTTGATCTGTACTACTAATAATTTTTTTATAACAAAAATGTTATACCATTTTTATTAGTTTGTAATTTTATAATAAGATATTATAAATTTATATTTAATTTTACTTTATTATTATAAATAAATACTAATAAATTCTTAAATAGAATTATTTATATTATTAAATGTTGATTCTTCTAATAAAAAAACTAAAAATATTTTAGTTGATGTAATTTTATTTTAATTATTTATTATTGATTAATATTAAATAAATTATTATTAATAATAAATAGTTACTATAAAATAGTAATTAAAAATATAATTTAGTATTATTTTAATTTAAAAAAGATTAAATTTGTAATTAGCTAGAAATAAGAAATTGTATACTGATTCGACGTTTTAGTAAACAACTAGTAAACAATAATATCAAAAGAATAACATTCTCATTTCTATTTATTTGATTTCGATTGATTTTATGATCCCAGTAAACAGATCCTCGTTAATTAATTGTGTTGTTGCATGCAGAAAAGCTCAGGACGGCGCCTCAAACTTACGCATCGGAAGTGAACTGTAGAGATTGGAAAATAGGTAAGGAGGAGAACATAAAATTACTCAACGACGACGACACTTTCGTATATTATGGTGCCGTTACAGTCATGGCTTCAAATTTGGTGTACCAAGACTGTTCACCGCCTGAATCATCTGTGGTTGCCACCGTCGTCAATTCCTGCTGGAAGGTAAATACAATAATACTTACCTCGTCTCATTATTATGTTTTTTACCAAGTATATATGATTAGCGGTTATTTAGAAGATTCCCACACCGATTGAATCGTCAATATTTGGGATCGTAGTTGGTAGGTGCTTTAACTACTCAGCTATTACCGATCCTAGCATAGTTCATTGGATTTTTTGATACTTGAGGATGGTGATGGTGATGAACTGATCATGTTTTATTCTTCTTAATGCAGATGAAACTACTTGGATGCTACGATTTTGAGAATAGTAAGACTTTGGACTTTGATTAAATGGTCTCAATCAGAATAGATTTTATTTTTTATTACAGTCAGAATAGAATTGATTCATAACTAATGGTCTTAATCTGATTAGTTCATGTAATTATTGGAGCTATTAATTAACTACTACATGTTAGATTAATTATCATACATCATCAAATTGATTAACATAAATGAATGTTTTTTTTTGACAAAAAAAAATAAATGAATGATTAATCTAAATATCAAATAACTTTTTTTGAATGAAATACCAATTAACAATAAATCAAGAACAGTAATCACGGATTTAGTAGCGTTTATCAACTTAGCTGGCTTTTATTAATCCTCTCTTTTTGTACATCATGTGTACTCCTTCACAGGTAGTTATCCCTCTTCAAACATTTTCTCTCATTCATGTCTCCCATTTAATAACTCTATAACTTCTCTTTCTTTTATAAATATTAATATAACAATAAATAAAATTAAATTATAACTTGATAATTATCCTAGCTAATAGATAAAAAAATTTATTAAAAAATATACGTCCTTGGGTTTGGGTAGGTGTTCATTTAATCTCTGAAGTTTTAAAATAACACTTTTTGTCGCTAAAGTTTGGTGTAGGTATCTATTTAGTCCCTAAATTTCAAAATATTTATTTTTTGTCCCTATAGTTTGAAAAATAATTCTAAATGGTCATTTGACCGTTAGTTGACTACCGTAAGTGGCTTTTTTTCCCTCTTCTCTTCCTCACTCCTTCTCTTTTCTCTTCCATCTCCGACCAACAACTGCCGACCATTTCTATTCCTGCATCGATGGCGAGCGGAGGCACCATTAATGTGCCTTTAGGGAGGTTGATAGATGATTTAAAACAGTATTAGAGTAACAAGTTTTTGTATTT